TGAGGCAGAAGTCTCTAAACTCATCCTTTCCAATCATCCTACTACTTGTCCGCTTGATCCTATTCCATCTCATCTCCTTCAAGCCATTTCTCCTGCCATTGTACCTGCACTCACTCACATCGTTAACACATCCCTTCACACTGGTGTTTTTCCCTCAACATTTAAACAGGCTCGTATAACCCCACTTCTTATGAAACCCACTCTTAACCCAACTCTTTTAGAGAACTACAGACCGGTTTCCCTTCTACCTTTTATTGCAAAAACACTTGAACGATTTGTGTTCAACCAAGTCTCAGCCTTTCTCACACAGAACGAACTCATGGACAGCAACCGATCTGGCTTCAGAAGTGGACATTCGACCGAGACTGCTTTGCTCTCAGTTGTTGAAGCCTTAAGACTGGCAAGAGCGGTTTCCAAATCTTCTATACTTATTTTGCTGGATCTGTCTGCTGCTTTTGATACGGATAATCACTAGAGTCTCCTGTCAACCCTATTGGAAAATGACATCTCAGGAACAGCACGCCAGTGGTTTGAGTCTTACCTCTCAGATAGGTCCTTCAAGGTATCTTGGAGAGGTGTCTAAGTCGCAACAGCTAGCTACTGGGGTGCCTCAGGGCTCAGTTCTTGGACCACTTCTCTTCTCTGTCTACATGGCATCACTAGGTTCTGTCATTCAGAAACATGGCTTTTCATATCACTGCTATGCTGATGACACTCAACTCTACCTCTCATTCCATCCTGATCGAGACTTGTCATTTGCACTTATATATTGTTGCTCTTTTGTTAGTTTTGTCTGCTTTTATTGTCCTCATTTGTAAGTCGCTTTGGATAAAAGCGTCTGCTAAATGACTAAATGTAAATGTAAATAAGTGAATTACCGCCACCTATCTCTCAAATGGACCATTGATATTCTTAATTGAGATTGTAGATAGAGTGATGATAGTCCATTTGAGAGATAGGTAGCGGTAATGCACTTATAAGTCTGTGATCCGCCATAAAGCAAGAAGAAAAAGAAGACACCTCGCGCCGGCTGAAAAAGAAGACGTGAACGCGCTCAGGACAGTTCAAACATTGCGGTGAATCAGAGTTAAAAAACTATATAAATACTGTTCAGTGTCTTGCACAGACCGATCGTTTCGTGTCTTTACACATCAATTTAATTTTGGTTTTGTTTGTGTACGGTTTTGTTTTTTTGACTTTCAAAGCTGTGATTCCTATTCACTTCCATTATATGACTGACAGACTGCAAAGGTTTAAGTTAAAAATCTTTGTTTGTGTTCTACTGAAGAAACAAAGTCACCTACATCTTGGATGCCCTGGGGGTAAGCAGATAAACATAACATTTTTCATTTTTGGGTGAACTATCCCTTTAATTTAAAAGTAAAATAATTTTTGCAAAATATTGTCATCTATGCACCAAACTGCCAAAAATAACAGCATTAGTGATAGTCATGTTCAGAATGCATCTGGGTTACGCACCTGATATAATTTTCAGCTTCACTTCAGTGTAGGAATCTTTACTGATACGGATATCAGCTGCACAATAGTACGTCCCAGAATCCTGTGCACTCAGATCTCTGATGGTCACAGTGAAAACTGCTGCTCTTGTGTCGTCAAACAGAGAGAATCTTCCAGAATCAAACCATTTGTTTTTAATATTGGTCCTGATTCGGTCTGTGCAGTCTGACCACTGTACTCTACAAAAATACTTTGCATTTGCTCTATATTTTTCTTGATATGTGCATGTGATGTTGATTTCACCCCCTGCATGTCCAGTCACACTCATGGAGGTCATGGCACCTACAAAAACAAACCAGCATTTTAATAAAATGCTTTAGTACATTAATTATGAGGCTTAAATGAGAGGAACATTCAAAAATTGCTTTAAAAAATAAGTCAGATTCTTACCAGGAATCATCAGCAGAGTGAAAGTCCAGATGATCTTCATTCTTATATCTTATTCAATGATCTTCTCTGTTGTTAGCAGATTCAGTTCTACAGGGGTCTGAAGCTCCCGGTGTGTGTGTTTGAGGTGGTTCCTGGCAGTGTGTGAATCATGAATGTGATAAGATGCAAACTTCCCCTTCCTTTGTCTTCTGCCACTGCATGTGTCACCGGTACAAGTTAGACTGAAACAGAGACACAGGTCTCAAAAAACAAAATGCATTAACAAAATAAGAACAAGCTGAACAGAAGAAAGCAAAGCACAGAAGTGTTGACATTTAAAGATTTTGTGCAGCATGTTTTGCACACTGTGAGCATCCAGTGAGACTGTTATCTGTAATGCATCATGACTTCCTCTTTGTTACACTCGCGGCCTTTGAATGAAAAAAAAAAAACCTTCATAGTATCATGAAGTGTGAAGTCTACACACTTCTCACAATTTCCCTTTACTTCCCATTCTTCTGTGTTTAGAGAAAACCCTTGATTTCCACATCCCCATACATGGATTAATTCAGTTCTGACAAAACCACAGAAAACACACTCACACTTTAAAACACACATCATTCAGTTCATGTTTAAGTAATAGATCAGAGTACATTTATTCTTTAAGCAGTCACATTTACCTGAAAAGACATACATACAAATGAGGAAAAACACCAGAAACTTATCATTAGCCAATAAAAGCTAAAGCAGAAGTGAAGTTATGTTGTATATGAAGTCATCTGTCCATAAACCGATGTGATAAGATGAGCCACTGCCTGCATTTCACATAAACAATCAAATAATGCACAAATAACATCAGTAATGAGCATAAAATAACATACAACTTGGGTCACTGCTCACTGTGCAACAAACAATACAATAGACAATGAATGAATTCACTAACTTTACAAAAAATTTACAAAAAAATACAAAATCTACATCTGTTCCACAAAGTCAAGCAGATAAGGACATGATTCCTCAATTAAGCCCTGATTTTTCCAAAATGTTTTCTTAAAATCTTGGTTTATTATATCCAAAATGTCTTCTTTAAATCTGGGATTTCTTTATCCAAAATGTCTTCTTAAAATCAGATTTGTTTTTAGTCCTCTCACTGATGCATTGTTGGATCAGCTTCCATTCCATGAAGCTGCTCTGAGACGCAGTCAGTAAAATCATCATACGGTTGGATCATCTGATCAATCTACTGTTGAGTAGATCATCTGGTTTATCTGCTGTTGAGTAGATCATTGAATTTTCTGGTTTTTCTGCTGTTGAGTAGATCATTGAATCGTCTGGTTTTTCTGCTGTGGAGTAGATCATTGAATCGTCTGTTTTTTCTGCTGTTGAGTAGATCATTGAATCGTCTGGTTTATCTGCTGTCGAGTAGATCATTGAATCGTCTGGTTTATCTGCTGTCGAGTAGATCATTGAATCATCTGATCAATCTGCTGTCGAGTAGATCATTGAATCGTCTGGTTTATCTGCTGTCGAGTAGATCATTGAATCGTTTGGTTTATCTGCTGTTGAGTAGATAATTGAATCATCTGGTTTATCTGCTGTCGAGTAGATCATTGAATCGTCTGGTTTATCTGCTGTCGAGTAGATCATTGAATCGTCTGGTTTATCTGCTGTCGAGTAGATCATTGAATCGTCTGGTTTATCTGCTGTTGAGTAGATCATTGAATC